CCCTGGCGCTATAGGGCGCTATAGGGCGCTATAGGGCGCTACAGCGTGTGCTGTACCATGATACGCCGTGTTATACTGTGCCTTTAGCATGCCATACCGTGCCATACCGTGCCAGACTGTGATATAACGTGTCATACTGTGCCATACCATGCCATACCGTGCTGTATGATGCTATAGTGTGCTATATCATGCTATACTATGCCTTACCGTGCCATATCCTGTCTTACTATGCCATACCAAGCTATACTGTCATACCATGCCATACTGTGCTACACTGTGTTATACCACGCCATACTGTGCCATACTATGCCATAGGGTATTATACTGTGCTGTATCACGTTATATCATGCCATATCATGCTATACTGTGCCATACCATGCCAGACCGTGTTATGCTGTGCCATAGTGTGCTATACCATGCCATATTGTGCCATACTGTCCCATAACTGTGCCATATCATGTCATAGCAGCCGGTGTGGTGCCAGTGCATGCCACCCCAGGCTGTGCCAGCAAGACAAGCTAGATATTGTAATATAAATTGTATATTGTTTTAATTTAAATCTGTAAGTCTTTTAGGCATAATTAAAAACACCAGCCAGGGGTTTCTCACGCCCACCCCACCCTGCCCAGCCCGTGCTGTACCCTGGCGGTTGCATCCTTCCAGGGATGGGGATGCCATGGCACCAGCGCTTGCCGGGAACACCGGCGCTGAGCCGGCCACCACGGGTGCAGCACGGTGCTGCCAGGCTGCTCCCCACCATCCCTCCTGGAGCCATCCCCCACTGCTGTGTCCCTGCTGGCCTCTCACATTGCCTATGTGGGGATGGGGAAACAAAGGCAGAAGCTGGCTGGAGCAGTGCCATAGGGTCCTGCAGGCCATGGGGCCAGCCCAGAGCCTCATCCATGCGCTGCCAGGCCAGGCACCCCCTGCACGCCCGGCAGGGAAGGGGTGCGGGTGGCTTGGGCTAAGGAAATGGGAGAGACCTGGCCAGGCTCCCATTCTCCTCCTCCCACAGCCCCACCTCCCTGGTCCGGCTTAAACTCCCGGCCAGACCAGCCCTGGGGCCACCAGTCCATCCCCATCCCTGTCTCCACCATGCTCCAGTTGCTGCTGCTCTGTGGGACACTGGGCCAGGCAGGTAAGGCAAAGCCTCAGTGGGGTTGACGTGGTGGGGGGACACGCGTGGTCATAAGGAGGGAACGATGGGGCAGTGGGTGATGTCCGAGGTCTCTTGCAGCCCCACTGGCCTTCACCATGCTGCAGTGGACCCGCGTCTCCAAAGGCAGCTCCGTCTTTTGGGGGAACGCCAGCCTGGATGGGCAGCTCAGCCACCTCCTGGAGGGGCTCAACGTCACCCAGGTGCTACCACTAGAGTCCCCCGAGGCCTGGGCCCGGCGGCAGCAGGAGGTGATCACCTACCTGCAGTACTTTGCCCAGTTGGTCCAGGTCTTCAGCAAGGAGAGGCCCATCAACTGTGAGTGGGACCCGGTGGGACCCAGGGGGGACGGGGATGCGTGACTTTGCATGGGCACGGGTCCCACTGTGGAAGGGGACCCCTATCCTGTGGGGCACGGGGAAGGCTCAGGGTGATGCTCAGCCTCCTGCTGCCCTGCAGGAAAAGGGCTGGGAGCTGCAGCATGTGGGGGTGGGTGTGTGAGGTACAGTCATCCTGCCTTCACCCTGTCTGCATCTCACCTGCTCCCTGCCTTTATCCTGCCTTTACCCTGCCTGCACTCCATCCACCTGCCCGCACCCCGTAGCCTTCATGGGAGGTGTAGCACACTGACAGAGATGACTTCCCAACCCCACGTTATCCTGACTTGCCTGTGCCAGATGCATTTCCCACTCTGTTTCCTTCGTCACCCGCACACCAGCTTTGCCCCAGCTCCACATTCCCTTACCCTGGGGAGGACCCACTCCCCTCAGGGTCTCTGGCACCACCCCTATGCCCCTCCTTGTCCCCCACACCCCATCCTTCCGCAAGAGCCACAAAAACCTTCCTGTCCCTACAAACCCAAAGCTGCGCCATATGCAGATATGCAGATAATACCCCCAGCATCGGAAAAGTCACCGCTGCAGCTAAAGGGAACGAAAACAAAGCCATGGGGGGGTCGGAGGGCATGAGGCTGAGGCCCTGCAAACTCAGTGCACAGCTCAATGCTGGTGCGAGCCATGAGCTGCCGAGGGTGGGAGTGTGCGGACCCCAACCCCCTCCCTCCGTCCCCGCAGACACCCAAAGCCTACGCTGCCGCCTGGGCTGCCACCTCTTCCCCAATGGCACGGCCCACAGCTTCTATGAGGTGACCCTCAACGGGACGGCCTTCCTCACCTTCCACGTCCCCAATGCCACCTGGCAGCGACGCTGGCCCCATGGGGACGCAGTGGCCGCCTTTGCTGAGCGGGAGCTGATGAAGTACCCCATAACCACCCAGGATCTCCAGCATTTCCTCAACACCACCTGCGTCGGCATCCTGCAGGCTCAGAGCGCCGGGACGGGTCCGTGACAGGGCTGGGGTGGGGGAACACGGTGATGTGGTAGGGGTGACCCCAGGTGCCATCTCCGTGCCTCTTGCAGGAAAGCAGAGCAGCCGGTCGCACACCCCGCTGGTGTTGGGCTTGATCCTGGGGACCTTCGCCTTGTTGGGTATGGCCGTTGGGATCTTCTTGTGCACAGGAGGGAGCTGCTAGTGGAGACAGCAGCCATCCAATGACAACCCATGGAGCCAGGGGACAGACCCATCATCACCCGTGGAACCAAGAGACGGACCCATCGTCACCCATGGAGCTAGGGACTGAGCCTGTGCCCCGTCAGGGATGTGTCTCCCCAGCGCTCAGGCTTTGCTCCCATAGGACACCGGTGGCTTCCCCACCTGGTCCCAGCTGACTTGACCCCCTCCCAGCAGCACCCTGCCCTGAGGATGGTCCCCACACTGGGCTGGCGCAACACACGGAGGCTTAACACAGAAACACACTTGGCACAGAGAAAACGGGGAAGGGGGGCAGGGGGCAAAGCGTCAGGAGAAACCGTCAGGAAAGGCCTAAAAGGGTGGCACCGAAACCCTCATTTATCCCTGTTCTGTGGGGACAAATGCTGGGGAGGGCGAATGTCACATAGCCATGGCACTGCTTGGAGATGTCCTGTAATAAAACCACATGTCACCTCTCCCACTGCATTTCATGTCTCTCATTTCCCCCTCACAGCATCGGAGTGGGCCAGCAGGTCCGTCACAAGGGTCTGCAGTTGCCAGTGCCGGGCGGGCTCCTCAGCATTACCAGCCCCTGCGTTAGACCTCAGGCCATGCACTGAGTTTGCAAAGCCTCTGGAGAGCTGAGCTCGTTCCAACCCGCCTGCAGCTTCAGTTTGATGCAATTAAGAGATTTTTCAAACAACTAAGCAGCGACGCTTCATTTCTTTTTTATTTCCTCATTGTCTGAGACACCAAGGTTGGGTTTTCTGAGCCAGTGACCATGGTTACCGCTCTCCCATGAGGATGGGTATCCTAGGGGGACACAGGAACCATGGGCTAGGGACCCCAAGGTGAGAAACTGCTCCCCAAGGCCAGGCTGGAGAAAGGCAGAGCTGCACAACAGTGCCCACCACTGTATTTTCCTTTTCCACAAAGATCTGAGCTAAAAAACTGCTCTTCAACTGCTCAGACCTTGGTTGTATCAATAATAAATTTCTGGCCGCATTTCCCTTACAGCCATAGTAAGATTTTGAGCACAACGCCCGTCTTGTGCTCATCTCCGCTGCCCCAGGGACAGGAAAAGTTGAGGATGAGCCAGGAGCTGGCTTAGGCCACCAAAAAAAGGAGACAGCGGAGGGGCAAGGAGCTTTTAAATTAAATTCCTGCTTGTTTCTTTCTAAATTCCCTTTCCTGTGGCTCCAAGGGTGCAGGGAGAAGATGGGAAAAGAGCCACAGGGCAGAAAGGGGATGGGAAGAGGACATAGGGGTTGTCCTCAAGGAGCGATGGAGGAGGAGGTGGTCTCCAAAGACCACATCTCATCACGCTGGCCACTGGCCACCCCTCAGGCTCCTGGGGCAGGGGTGCTCCCCACCCTTCTTTGTGAAAGAGAAATGGCAGCCAAGAGGCCAGAGGATCCAAAACAACGAGGCCGAGGAACGTCAACGTCATCGCTCAGTCTCTGAAGAAGTGCCCGAGGCTGGGAAGGTGCCACCAGACAGGGACGGCCCAGGAGAGACCTGGGCTGGAGAAACTGGGGAGGTCTGGGACAATAGGGCTTGTTTTGCTTTTTGCTTCCAAAATGCATAATCTTTTGGACAGATGAGGAAGTCTCCACTTAAAACAGCTCTGGAAAAAGCCTTTTTCCTGCCCCAGCCCTCCCGTGCATGTCGCTCACAGCAGGAGAGCGCTCCAGAAAGGAACTGACCTTGGGTCTCCACCAGCGATCACAAGGGGATGGAGCAGTGCCCAGCAGCGGGGATCCCCCCAAAAGACTCAACCCAAACTGTGTCAGTGGTGCCACAATCCCATTCTGGCACCAGCTCCCTGGTGGTTACCAAGACCTGGGCATGGTGGCCAAGAGCCAAGGGGTTATGGGCAATAGCATCTACCCCCTGGCCCCAGCACAGCCCCAGAACTTCTCATTCTCACCCCAAAACCCCCCAAATCTCCAAATCATGGCGCTATCAACACTTGTCCTGGAGCAGCAAGCTGGGGACATGTTCCACCACTGCTCCAACACATACCATCTCTCTGGTAGCCATATCCATTGCTGATCCTCTCTCAAATTTGGCTTTTCCTCCACTCTTGAGCACAGGTTGGGACAGGCACCAACTGTTAATTCTGTATCCTCTCAACCCAGGCTTGTTTTTAAATTTGCTCCTTGGGTATTTTTGTTTGCTTTCTGCAAAAGGGTGAACAAATCTGCACCCAGACCTTTGGAGGCTGTAACCAATGCTCCTATGCAGCTTCTTCCCAGATCAAACCATCCTGGTTGTCTGCACCAACGGCCAGGCAAACCTTTGCTCTCTCTCCTCATGGTTTCCATCACTGGGCTTTGCTATCGCTGCCTTGGATAAGGGTTGAGATAAGACACCCACAGCCTTGAACCTCACTCCAGTGAGTAAGAGCATGCCAATGCGCCAGGAACCGGCTTTTCCCTTCACCCACGGGTGCTTCGGAGGGGGTGGGCAGGGACATGAAGTCCCTGCTGTGTCCTTTGGGAGCCTCCAGCCGCTCGCATGGCATCCTTGGCTCTGCGCCCCAGCCAAGAACTGCTGTGTCCTGCACCACCATGGGCTCCTGTGCCTGCTCGGGTGGGGAAAACAGAACTAAAAGTTGGGCTGATGGTGTCAGTGCTCCTTGTGAAAATGGGGAGCACCAGATTTGGGTCTCCAGGGAGAGGAAGGAGGGATTATCCTCACAAACAGACCTGACGCAGTTGGCGTCTGCGCTGGTGTCATTGTGGCTTTTCTGGACTAAACAAGCTCCGTTCTGCTGCATTCCCCTCAGGGTCACATTGCCACAGCCCCAGATGTTCTCGTTTCTGGTATTGCCAGTTTGCCAACATCCTTTTTAAGGTGAGCGAGGGGATTCACAACACATACAGCCTTCCTTGAGCAACGGATGGGTGGTTTTTTTTGGGAAATGTAATTTTGGAGGGTGGAGGCTGTTGGGGTGGGTTTGGTGACTGCTTTCTAGTGGCCACTCCCGCACAAGAAGAGACAGGTCCCTGGAAACATTTAACAGCAAGGGAAAGGGCAGTGCTGATGAGTACCCCCTCACAGGGGTGCCCAGGACCCATTGCTGCCCTCTTCCCTTTCCATGCACTTCCCAGGTCAGTGGGCAGAGCCAGAGGAAACGGGAGGGGAAAGCTGGCCGCTGGCCACGGTCAACACCGAGCGGGGCGAGGTGGCAGGAGGCTCCTGCGCCCCCACCACAGCTCCCACCCTGTCCCAGCCGGGCTGTCCTCTCCCTGGAGACTGCTTTGGTCTGAGCAAGCCATGCCTTGAGAGATGCTCCATCACCTCTTGTCAGCCCAACGGCTCATATTGTGTTAAAGACTTCAGCGACAGACTGCCCATTTCCCAGAAAGAAATGTTTAGATATAGATAAGTACTTTAAAACGAGCTCTTTGGAAAAAAAAACCACAAACCAAAAAACAAGAAGTCTGCCTGTGCTGTACTTGTCAAGAAGTTGTCATGGAGAAGAATCCGCTGTTTGGGAACACACTCACCCCTGCCCAGCCTCGGGGATGCTCTGTCCAAGCGGTGCCACTTGCTGCGGTAAGAAATGAAAACAGCCATGGCCTTCTGCAAGGAACAAACCACCCTCTTGGGCACCCCAGGACCACATACCCAATGCTGAAGCTCTTGCGCACAGCCCCACAGACTCAAGGTCTGCTTTGAGATGGGCAACGTGGCTGCTGAGGCACAGGAGAAGTGGACAAGGCTGTTGTGGCACAACGCTTTCTGGAAAAGTGGAGCTGAACCCTGTTTTCAACTCCATCATCTCCCTGCTATGGAGCCCTCACCCCATCAGCTTCTTCACCTCTCCTGGGATGGGAGGGATCCAGCCAAAGGGCAGTAACGTAGCGCTGACAAAGGAGATGACACCTTAAAGCGAGCCTGCGGTGAGGCCCTGGAGGAACAGAAACTTCCGGAGGTGATCAAAACTGTCCACTCCAGAAAGAAATCAGGATCCCGCTTTAGCCAGGCAAGGACCATGTGCTCATTTAAACACCCCCCTCTCTAAAGGGCAAGGAATTCTAGAAACTCTTTTCAAGGACAAGTTCAATTCTTCTAGCAAAACATAACACGCCTGCATCTAAACACTCAACAATCCTTGACTTGTGCAAGGATTTAGGGTAAAAGGGGACTGGGAAATTTTTATATTTTTAAATTTGATTCTATTTGGGAACAGCAGCATTGCACAGAAGGTGCTGGAAATTAAAGCCCCTGCATTACAAAACTCCCAGCTCAGAGGCCCACATCTTCAGGATGCTTGCTTGGTCCCAAACCAAGAGGTGATGTGCACACCCAGCCTCCCAAGAAGCATTTATATAGGATAAAGGAGTCCATGTGTGCCATGACTCAACTCACACCAGGGAATTGTGACTGAAACAGGGGACACAGGATGTCACAGGCACCAAACAGGGGCCACATGCCCCTGGCCAGACACCCTGGGGTCCTCGGAGGACAAACGCCTCCCCACCATCCCAGAATTGGCACGACTTTCCTCAGGCAAGGGGACCAAAACAAGGGGAAATGTTTGAGCCAGACCCTGGCAAGCCCTTGCCTGCACAGAAAGCACGGAAACCCTGGAAGCTTTATCTGAGGGTGGGCAAGGTAGAGGACCCCTGCTCCACACACACCACAGCAGGGGGGAAGGAAGATGGAAGGAAGCAGGGTCACTTGGCACAATTTGAGGCTTTTTTCCCCCCTGTTTTTCTTCTCGCTCTGGTCAAAGCCAGGGCTTTTCAGCTATTGTTACTGTTTGACACAGCACCAGCATCCCAGAGTGCAGCCCCACAGTGAAAAAAACCTCAAACAAACCACAGGAAGGAAAAGAATTAGCAGGGAAAGGAAAAGCAGCAGCAGGAACAAGTCCTCATGCCTGAAATAACCGTGCTGCTGGCTGCAGGTAGGAAAGGTTACACCACAGCCAAGCTCTCTCCTGGGGAGAAGCTGAGACTTTGGTGTGAAGTCCTGGCCTTTTGGCTTTATTGCTACAGGTAAAGGCAATAATCAACTGGTTCCTTGAGGGGCTGCAAGAACAGGAACCAGCCCCCCATGCACAGGGATATCAGAAGTAGAATTTATTTGAAATACGAGGTTTCTTAGAAATCTACCCTAAGGAGGAAGTGGGGGCAGAGTGGCAGATGTCTGAAAGAGCTGGTCAAACAGAGAGACACTCAGGGTGCCTCAGCTGGGATTAATGGTTTACACTTACGGCTTTTGAGGAAGACGAGCACTGAGACCAAGGGTTTGGCATCCCAGGTTTGTACTGCCCCCCTCTCTCAGCTGTTCCCGAAGACCCCGCTTTGCTCTGCCAAGGCAAACGTAAAAAGCATCCACAACAGGAAACCTTCCCGGTGCTGCTGCTTCCGCTGCGTCAGCTCTCGCTGGAGCTGAGGGGTTGGGTGGGACATTGCAAGACCAAGGGCAGCGCACAGGGGCTGGGCTAGGGCTGCTCCGCACCTCTCATCTCAGCTACTTAAAGTTCACAACGAAGAAAAACAAACAAACAAGAAAACCAGGACCTTGAGTGTCCTGCTGCTGCTCCCCAGCAAACACTTCTGTGTAGAAAAAAAATAGATGCCATTCACTTTGCAGGCAGGGTATGAGGTACAAGGCAGCAGCTCTAAGGATTCCACTTTCCAACCCCTAAAAGCCCAAAGGAAAGGAGCAGAGAACATGGTCCCACGCAAACAACTGCCTCATTTCTCCTGCGGCCTGCATCTCCACAGGACACAGCCATCGCTGAGAAATTGTTTAGCTACAGCTCCTGAAGAACACGTGGAGATGAGCGCCTCTGACAGGGATGCTTAAAGGGTCTTCATGACAGATCAGAGCAGCACAGGTAACCACCCCCCCCAGGTTACCAGGCCCTGAGTTCAACTAAAGCAGCTACAGAGCTTTTGCTGGTGGCAGCAGCCTTAGTTTCCCCCCCTCTACAGCAGCTCAAAGCTTAAATCACTGCAGGGACCATTCCCTGATAGTGCAATGACTTGCAGCTGCTGAGATACATAACCAGGGAGCTTTTGCCATTCCAACTCAAACATCTTTATTTCTGTGCTGTTACCTTCACCTGTCCTCACAGAGGACAGGGCACAGGAGGTAAGCAAATGTTTCCAAACAAGCTGTTGGTTACATCTGGGGGCAACGAGGATGAACCAAGACCACAGGGAGCCACTCCCATTATTAAATCCTGTCTGAGGAGTCTTTACACTAAGGTGTTGCAACTTCAAATTTAAAACCAAGCATTAACTTTTGGGACAAGAGGACTCCTTGGTAGTTAATAGTCCACAGGAGCCTTACAGACTCTTTTACTCTGCTTTTCCCAACTGTATGTGGGGACTCACGTAGCCCATAAAGGCTCTCCTGCCAGTCCCCTCCCAGCAGCACCAGAAACAGACTCTGAAGCAACACCGCACTCTAGACACGGAGGGGAAGAAGGGCTGGGATTACAAAAACAGAACCCAAAACCAACAGAAACTCAGAAGAGACTGACACAAAGGCCATAAAAAGCAGGAGAAACTATGAAAATATGATGAGATGGTCAAGAAAAGTCACATCAAAATATATTTAAAAACCAGAAATTCCAATCTGTGTGGAATTTAAATCTCCTTTCCCCATTTTTTTTTCTGCTCAAAGAGTCTCTGTTGTTCCAGGACATGGAACAAGATAGGCAGCACCAGTTATGTCCTGAAAAGGGTAGTATTTCCCCTAACTCGTCTGAGCACTTCACAATTTACAAAGGAAAAAAGTTACATATACCTCAAAATTGCCCCACCCTCCCTCTTTTCCATTCGATAACGGGCAGGAGAAAAGACTGCAATCAAATCTGACATTTCATTTTCAGTTAAGTCCAATTTTTCCACACATCAATATCCCTGCAATCCATTGTACACCTTCTGCACTGATCCTTGTTTCAACAGCTGCTTGAGACCTGCAAGAGAAAGGAAAGTGTTACTGTAACAGGATCAAGGTTTGTAACACGTACCAGTGCTTTCCTGCGCTCTTGGGACCACGCAAGGTGAGTGGATCCAGCGAAAAAGCCTCCTCTGCTACTAACTCAAAAGCCCAGCGCACCACCTCAAGATCCTCACAGCTCTGCAAAGGAGAAAGCTGACCCCCAGAGCCGCTTCGCTATTGAAGTTGAGAACAATTTTATCATCTTAAATACAAATGTGACAACAAACAGCTTTCTGAGAACTTCCAGAGTCAGATTCATCAAGCTCATCTCCCCAGGCTCTCATCACAGCCCAAGAGAATTTTGCAAGCAGAAACTGGGGAGGGCTGCGTTTGAGTCCTTCTGGGCTTGCCAGCCACAGAAACCCATGTGAGAAATTATAGAGCAGAGGTTATCGCACTGGTATGCGGTGCCTGGGGACACTACTGCCCACTAGAAGTAGTCCCTGAAGGCAAGTAAGAGAAGGAAACTTGTTATCTG